CTTCATATCTTCTAGCGTGTAATGCGTGTGAACCCTTTTTGGACAGAATTGTTATCAGTGATCAAAAATGGATTCTCTATGCGAATATTAAATGCCAAAAACAATGGCTCAGTCCTAGACAAAATCCTGTTCCGACCCCAAAACCTGGACTCCATCTGTAGAAAGTGATGCTTTGCATTTGGTTGGACATCAAAGGAGTAATTATTTTGTACTTCTCAATCCACAGTGAACTGTCAATGCAGAGATCTATAGTCAGCAACTGGAACACCCTTCATCAGAAATGCCCTTCACTCGTGAATCGGAAAGGTGTTCTTCACGACAATGCACATCCACATGTGGCACATTTTATGCAACTCAAGATTATGGAGTTGGGTTGGTAAGTTCTCCCTCACCCACGATATTCTCCAAATATGGCACCATCAGATTATCATCTTTTTCGTTTGCTGCAACACCATCTTAATGGGAAAATTTATGCAAATGTGGAAGGTGTTAAAGAGGACATCGACATGTTTTTTGCTTCAAAGCCAAGTGATTTCTTTAATCAGGGCATTAACAACATGATTGTAAAATGGAAAAGCATCATCGATAAGAATGGAGACTATTTCATTTAATAAATGTTTTGTTTTGATATATAAGTTGTTTGGGTTTTTCATTTAAAAAAAGCGACATTAATTTCTTCATGAACTAATGTAAGCAGTTTACTTAATTCAAAGGGATATGTTGCATATTACATTTAGAAATCAACATGATGATGGTGCAGCTGTTGACACATACTTTACTGATGCTTCAAAAATTTGTTATTTCAAAATATTTGTTTAACTCTTTCGCAACCGGCTCGACATAACATATGCAAGTTTGTATACACATTTTCACACATTAAGTATTTATACTATAACTTTTAATTCAGTATGTGCATCTTCAAAAAATTTAGTATACCTTTAGTGAACATTACAAGTCTTTTATACACAAAAATCAAATTTTTTAATGAAGTATTTTTACTAATGATTTGTTTGTGAATATATTGATTATGTGTCATTACTAGTCTGAGTGGAAGTGATTTTCATTTTATGATTAAAAATACTATTCTTCCTCCCCAAAATCTCAAATTTCTTTTGTGTAATCTTTAAAACCTCCTAAATACATTACAAACATTTGTTTTCAGTAAAATAATATCTTATTAGTTATTTAATGATATACTTGAGTCTTCAGTCTGTAGACAAATCCCGAAAGTATAATGAAAAGACAATTTGTAAAATTAGAAATAAAAGGAGCAGCTGTGCCTTTTTTTCGTTATTATTGGTCACAAAGTTTCAAAGTACTTCTCTTACAAGTTTGAACTGCTAAACATTTCACATTTATTTTCTTGTCAATGACTAAAGTAGAAACCTGCTGAAAATAAAACAAAAAAATGCTGCTTGTGTCAGGAAACTGTTTATGTGACACCACCATAATACAATACTCCTGAAAGCAACAAAGCACGTGTAAAAAGAGAGTTGACGAGACCTCTGCTCTGAGAACAGGATGTCTAATGTATCGGATTATATATGCTAAAATGTTATATTGGAAAATTAGGAGTAATCATACTGCTTTTAGAATGAGTGAAAACATTTATGTTAGCAACAGGATGTGTAATTTATCAGCATATGTATGTATCCTACACTGTTCACAACAAGACTTTTTGAGAATAACAACACTGCACTTTGAACCTGTCAAAACATTTATTATGTGGTTTGGTGCCAATACAATAAACAATGCAATTCTCTGAATATTGGTAATCCTTTTGGGGTGTTTGGAATTTAGCGGCATAGATGTACAAAGATGTTATTTGAGCACGTGCTTATAAAATCCTATAAAAAAACTAGTTTCTATACTACCTATCACACTCATTTAGTTTTGCAAGCCTTATAAGTCTAGTCTTCTTTGGAAAACATTCTTACTTTTGTAGATAAAGTGTAGTTTAGAAGTTCACTTACAGTTGTGAAACACCTTGAGTTGTTACTGACTCTTACCTTGAAGTATGTAATAATCATTTATAATATATATAAATATAATCAAGGTACAGAATCAAATACAAAGTACAAATCTAACTGTATTACCAATATTTTGGAAACTACACCAATATTTCGGCTACCACACATTACATATGTACATATATATTACTCATAAGTGCTTAAATTTTAGTTACTTTTCTTAAAACTTGAACAGTAAATGAAAATTACATAGATAAACAATGATTTCTAGTATTTACGAGAAATTACGTTGATAGGAAAATATTTTTCCCTCGTGTGCTTTTAGTGCAAAGCCATGTTTATTTTTTCAAGTGGAGCGTGAAGAGTATAATTTTTGTAGGCTTCAAATATACATTTTAGAAAGAAAAGATAAATTACATTACTCTACTAGTACACCCAAAACATCTGTAACTTGCTTGGGTTTATAAATATAGTATATATGTGTTAAAATTTTTTATCTTTGTTCAGAGCAACAACTTGGTCATCACCATTCGACAGTCTTGGCGAAAGTATTATTTTTTCCTACAAGCTCTTTACAAACAACTATCAGAATCATGTAAAGCACAACATGTCCTTTCTATTTGTTATAAACAGACCCTTCAAAAAAGTAGGTGGAACTAAACAAGAGGTTTGGAAAGAATGGAGTAGAAGGAGGCACCACTCTAGTTCATTTGCTAGATACATTGATTTCTCAATAAATCAAAGGTTCTAAATTTATATTTTTAGCTTGCCAGTATCTAAAATTCATGTTTCTAATTTGTTAACCACTTGTAGACTTATATAGTAGGCATAAAACAATATAAACTCAGCAACAAGACATGAGGAGGTACTATGTGACACACACAAATTGATGTTTAACTTTATTTTATTCATATTTTCTTTTCAATTAAGAAATTAAAACATACATAATATTAAAATTTGAAATATAAGCAACGTTTTGATGCCAATTTTATTGATATGTATTAATAATAAAGTTTTGAAAATATATCACTAACAGACTGTGACAAGTGCAGTTAGACCCACCCGTTGCAAAAGGGTTAATGGGTTCAATGCCCTTTTATTTTAAAAGGAATAGCTTGTGTATTTTACTTTTGAGGATCATCTTTTCAATCTGGATAAAAACTGAATAAAACTAGGAAGAAGGTTTACAGGAAGACAAAAGAACCAGTATTAAGTGTACATCATGGGACTTTTTATTTTTTGTGTATATAGTGTAGGATCTGAGCATTAAAATACATAAGAATTACAGCAGAAGTTGAACTAAACAGAATAGCAAAAACTTCACTTTTGATAAACTTTGTGCTAGAAGCTTTTGAAAATAATTACCCATGATAAACCCAAAGAAATTTGTTCACATGGGTCTCATTTATGGTTAATGTATATTGTAATAGACTGCAAGGAATAAGTGGTTTATATTATTATTGTTATTGTACAATGGTTCTTAAGTAACTGGGAAATTACATATGTTTTTATTTGTTGTGCTTGAAGTAAAACATGCTATTTAGGATCATTATTAGCTTGAGAAAGCTTTTTTTTCTCTTGATAAAACATTTAAAATTTGAAAATGTAACTAAGGTATTTTGAACAAAATATTATACACTGCACAAATAATTTTTTATTTAAATTTAAGCAGGTAATTTATATATTTTGGCTTAGTTTTTTTTTAACATAATGTATTAATTATGCAATCTATTAAAGTAGATGGGTTTCTTTTAATAACAGTATCGCATACCATACATATGAGAGAGCACCAAATGGAATTACTTGCCAAGATTTCTGGGTTTTTTTCTTTGTGCACATGTTTTGCCACTTTATAGTTATTTAGATATTAATTGCTATTGATGAAGTAATGAGTATTGATTTTGGAATTTTGTTTTTCAACATTTAAGTTAAAGGAATAAAAAATTCAATATAATATATTAATATTATATTATATATATAATATATTAATATTAATTAATATAAATTACTAAGAATTGGCCAAGAAAAAAAAAAGTTTTTTAATGCCAAATTTCGTGAATTGTAGGTGGGATTTAATTGCCCACTTATTAAGAAAATGTCAACAGCGAAATACTCTGGTGCATCAGGCTTACAGTTAGCTTGGTTTTACAATGGTACATGCAATTGAGCTTTTGAAATGTAACATTACATGTAGCTTATTTGAGATCTTATAGGCAATTGTAAATATATTCTATCCATTGTATAGTTTTTAAAACTCTGAAGTCTGCAAGTCAGAAAACTTGTTTATTGTGTGGAATAAAGATTAAATTATATCTACAAACTAGTGAGGTGACTTATTTTACTGTTAGGTTTTTTATGTTAACAAGTAAAATTTAAGGCACTAACACTTAAGTTCATCAGACAATGGTGGGTCCGTGCAAAGTGATAATGATTTTTGTTTTCAGAAAATTAATATTTTCAATTGTAATCTTCTATGAAACAAATATATGATAATTTTAAAAATAGGAATGTTTGTTTTTTGATAAATAATATCGAAATAATCCAACCATTGAATTAATGTTTACACCATGTTTTATGATGGCTAAAACTGCACGAAACTTGAGGTACATTGTGATGTCGATCTTACAATTCATACCTTTGTTGGATTACTCAAGTCAAATTGAAAACAAATTTAATTGTTCTTTCTTAAGAGAAAGTTTAGACAGAGAAGAGTGAACTGGATTGAAAACGTTTGTGGAATTAATGTGCCTGTAAAGTTCATTATGATGCATTGAATCTTTAGCATATGTCTTCATCAGATCAAATTTCATTATTTTTTGGCACCTTACTACTCTTTGTTCAAGATCAATTGTTCTTTGCTTTTGTACTAATTAAGTGTGTTAAAGATTTTTAATCTGTAGCTCTGTTACATTTATATATAATTTGAATAATAATACATCTTTATTCAGGCATATTCACTTCTTTTTCTTTTGTAATACTCACTAAGTTATGCTATGTTTAGTCATGAACCCATACACAGAGACTAGGTAGCTGTGAACATGCTTGAACCTTCACCTTGGACCAAGGTTATGCACCACAAGACCAGATGTTATTTGAAAATGCTTTCACAATTATTTTTTTCTCTCTTTCTTAATATATACACCTGGAAAAAAGTTAAGCACCCCC